CGTGTGTACAGACCTCACTGCGTTCGGTCTGTACTCACGACCTCGGTCAAGATTCTCCCATACAGACCTCCTGCTCGGTTAATAAGAGCTAAGTAAAAAAAAGTGTAAAGTATATCGTATTTGGGACTTTTGTTTAAAAGAACACTTTCCCTTGCTTCATTTCCTTTCAGGGCGTATAACCGCTGTCCACAATGACTCCGGCCTTAAAGGATCATGGTTGTGGAATTCATCCAACTTCCACAGTGATGATGTCATGGACTCGTCATACAATGACCCTAACTATGTTCCTCTGTATTCTTTAGATGGTATTAGCGACGCCATTGTCGAGGTATGAAGCTTGATGAACTGATAGTTTTTATCTGTAATCATGAATTTTCAATTTATTGCGCAACCAAAAAGGGGGTTCGTTATAGCCTTTAAAGCCTTTTGCAGATGCCTCTATGTGATCTTTTCAAGCATAAAAAAGATCCTTGCTTTCACATCTTTAATGCAATTTACCGGAGTAAAGAGAGACAAGACGGGGTAAAGTAAGACGTTTTTGAAAGTCTAACAGTCACATGAGAATTTATTTTTATATTTCTGTTGCATTGCAGAAAGCCACTGCAGCCTGCTCGGCTCTTGGACTTTCAGGCACAATGCTGAAGAGCTGTATCTATGACGTAGCCGTGACAAATGACACGTCACTGACTGCTCAAGAAACTCTGCAGCAAGGTGAGTAGAAACAGTAGAACAACAACAACAACAACAACAACAAAATGACAGTCACAGGAAATAAAGATTATTTCTTAGTGTTTGTGTTAGCAGAACTAGATTGTGTTAACTCATCGCTTCTTACAAACGTGGAGTTAAATACTTTCCTAACGAATTGTGTGGTCTGAGACTGTGTCATTCATATAATCACCGAAGTCGTTTAAGTAATTTTGTCTTCTTGTATTTTTATCGTTTCTCTTTCTGTGATGAAGGTTGCCCTGATCAGTGTTCTGGGAAGGGAAGATGTGCTAATGCCACGTGTCAGTGTATGATTGGTTGGTTAGGTGACAGCTGTGAAATTGGTAAGTAACGTTGCTAATTAACTATATCACCGCCGATCAGAAGGCTGAAAAAAACTTTCTTTCATTACATTGTGTTCAATTGTCTGCTGCAATGCTAAACTTGTGGTGAAAAATTATTTGTTCTCTTTTACCCAGGGAACTGCACAGCCTGTTCAACAGAACACGGGAAATGTGTTAAAGGATTTTGTGAATGCGAAGACGGCTGGGAAGGTGCCACTTGTGAACAGAAAGGTGAATCATATATTGGCAATGGCCACTAATTGCTTTACTTTCATGATTTTAAATTTTATAGTACGCATTAAACAATAATTACGGCAGCGCGGAAAGAGTCAAAACAAGGCATGGGAACGAGGCTCAGGCACAAGGTCTCGATCCACTGCACCATGTGTTTTTGGTTCAAGTCCCTTTTCATTCTTGTCGCCATTTGGGACTTTTAAGCACCCCACTACCAGCGCTTTAACAATCATCATTCGCTTTCTCGAATTAATTAGTTTTTGTACTGCATTGCAGCCACCTGCTACAACGTCAACAACTGCACAAGTCCCATCAACGGGATTTGTCAGAGGACNTAATCACCGAAGTCGTTTAAGTAATTTTGTCTTCTTGTATTTTTATCGTTTATCTTTCTGTGATGAAGGCTGCCCTGATCAGTGTTCTGGGAAGGGAAGATGTGCTAATGCCACGTGTCAATGTATGATTGGTTGGTCAGGTGACAGCTGTGAAATTGGTAAGTAACGTTGCTAATTAACTATATCACCGCCGATCAGAGGGCTGAAAAAAACTTTCTTTCATTACATTGTGTTCAATTGTCTGCTGCAATGCTAAACGTGTGGTGAAAAATTATTTGTTCTCTTTTACCCAGGGAACTGCACAGCCTGTTCAACAGAACATGGGAAATGTGTTAAAGGATTTTGTGAATGCGAGGACGGCTGGGAAGGTGTCACTTGTGAACAGAAAGGTGAGTCATATATTGGAAATGGCCACTAATTGCTTTACTTTCATAATTTTAAATTTTATAGTACGCATTAATCAATAATTACGGCAGCGTGGAAAGAGTCAAAACAAGACATGGGAACGAGGCTCAGGCACAAGGCCTCGATACACTGCACCATGTGTTTTTGGTTCAAGTCCCTTTTCATTCTTGTCGCCATTTGGGACTTTTAACCACACCACTACCAGCGCTTTAACAATCATCATTCGCTTTCTCGAATTAATTAGTTTTTGCACTGCATTGCAGCCACCTGCTACAACGTCAACAACTGCACAAGTCCCATCAACGGGATTTGTCAGAGGACAGATCAATGTCGCTGTCATGACGGATTCATTGGTAAGTTATTTAAAATAAGCTTTTATTGCCAGTGACGTTACAAATGTGGCCTCCACAGGGATGTGACCAAAGCACTTCGGAAAATGTAGAAATTAATTGGTATGTGGGTGTAGCTGGCCTAATAGCAACAGGTTTAATGACATTATTTTTTATCTTGTCCTCAGGTCGTGATTGCAGTATTATTCCAACTTGCTCTAATGTGTCTGATTGCTCCGGACGAGGCATCTGTATTGATTACGACGTATGCAAATGTGATAAGGAGTGGACTGGTAAAGACTGCAGCCAGTTCTCTTGTGGATCTCTAGACCATTGCTCTGGTAAGAGTCCTTTCTTGTCAGTTACTTCACCTCACATTTTCCAGTCAACCTTTTCTAAAGTCCGTCGTTAAACTAGGTATAAGGCTAAATGGAGACTTCATTTTTTACCCCCTCCCCCCTCCCCACTAGGTCATGGACGCTGTGTAGCTTTCTACAAATGTGACTGCGATCCAGGCTGGGCTGGGGCCAGCTGCGCTCTCCCTGATTGCGCAGACGTCAACCAATGTTATGGTCAAGGCGAGTGCGTGTCAAGGGATACTTGCCGGTGTTACCCAGGATTCCAAGGTGCCAACTGTAGTGAAGTAGCAGATTGTGCGAGTCTTGGAAACTGTAGCGGAAATGGAGTTTGTATGCAAGAGAAACAAGGCGACGATCTCACTTGCAGGTAAATGCTTATCAGTACTCGATCAAGTACATTATACATTACCTTATCTCACATCACTTAACTTATACAATAACTCTGTTCACCTAACCTCATCGCCTCCCTTCGCCTGTGCACCCCTGTCATCTCCTGTCGTCGCCTCCTCTCCCCTCCTCCATTCTCTTGTTCACTCCTGTCTTGTCCTGTGCGATCCTATCCTTTCCTTCCTTGTCCTCTCTTCTCCTCTCCTCTCCTCTCCAGTTTCCTCTCCTTTTCTTTCCAGTCTCCTCTCCAGTCTCCTCTCCTCTTCTCTCCAGTCTCCTCTCCAGTGTCCTCTCCACTCCTCTGCTCTCCTCTTCTCTCCAGTCTCCTTTCCAGTCTCCTCTCTACTCCAGACTCCTCTCCTTTCCAGTCTCTTCTCCTTTCCTCTCCTCTCCAGTCTCTTCTCCTCTCCTCTCCTGTACAGACTCCTCTCATCCCATCTCATTTCATTAGTGATTAGTGAAACTTTATTTCATTCAAATTCCAGATGTTATGCTGGCTTTAGTGGTGTCAACTGCAGTCTTGCTTTGTGTCTTTCCGTGAACAATTGTTCTGGAAATGGTCAGTGTTTAGAAGCAGACCTCTGTAACTGCGATGTGGGGTACACTGGTGCCGACTGCTCAAATGTGTCCTGTGAAGGCGTTAATTATTGTTCAGGTGAGGAAAAAGTTTAGTCTGGAACACATACGACGACGAGATAAGAAAGTTACTGTTCAAATGTCACGTTGAGTTGCAATAATTGTCTACTATTTTTTTATTTGCCGCTTAGATTTTTTTCAATTGATACAATTTGGCAGACTTGCTGATCCAAACAGTTCTCAAAGCGAAGCTTAACTAATCTTCTGCATCATAGTTAATAGAGGAAAATGGTGAGGAACGCGGGTAAAAATCAAAGAAAACAAACAGGCTAAGATTTATGCTGGAAGGTCCTTGACCCTGCATATATTTTGTTTTATGCTCATTGACTATGCGTGAGTCACATAATCGCAATGCTTTGCCAGGTTTCCTAACCATTTCCATCTTTTAAGTATGCGGTCTGCACCGGCTGTTTCAATTTTTTATTAATTGATTTGGACTGACAGTTTATACTTTTGAGGGAAGTAGCTTTGGAAAAGTGAAGAAAAATTGTGACGTCTTCGATCCACAACTTTTAACATGACCACCTTATTAATCACTACCACAAGCCTAGTTTAANCTGACAGTTTATACTTTTGAGGGAAGTAGCTTTGGAAAAATGAAGAAATATTGTGACGTCTTCGATCCACAACTTTTAACATAACCACCTTTTTAATCACTACCACAAGCCTAGTTTAAACTCCAAATACTTATTGTCTTTGTAGGTCATGGGGCTTGTACTGGCTATGACACTTGCGCCTGCAATCCTCTATGGCATGGTCCAGCATGCAGTGTGGCCGATTGTTCCAGTCTCAATCATTGTTCTAGCAAAGGCGATTGTATTTTACCAAATACTTGTGAGTGTTATCCCGGATATGATGGTGCGGCGTGTAACACAACAGCTAAGCCGAACCTTCACGCTCCAGTTTTTGCTTCTGTGCTGTACAATGCGACCGTGTTGGAAAACAGTCCCGTCGGAACGAAAATTCTCCAAGTGCAAGCGAGCGATGCCGACTCAGGACGAAATGGACAGCTTTTGTTCTCGTTAGACAACGGCAATGTGGCGAGTCCATCTTTCACAATCGATAGCATTTCGGGTGAAGTCTTCACCTCATCGGCTTTGGATTACGAGAGTTCATCTCCGCACTTGTTTAAGCTGAAAATCGTAGCTTCAGACAATGGAACACCGCGCAAATCAAGCTTCGCGTACTTGTACATTAATGTTCTTGATGTAAATGATCACTGTCCGGTTTTCGACTCTTTCCACACAAATAGGTTTAATATCTCACAGCATACTCATCCGGGAACACTTCTGACGGTGATATCCGCTTCTGATAAAGACAGCGGGCTCAATGGAGAAGTGAGGTATGGCTTGTCATACGCAAGCAATCTTGACGGAGCATTTCAAATGGAGGAAAATGGTGAACTGACAATTGTTGGCGAACTAAAGGTGAAAGAGTATCGGCTGGAGATCGTTGCACGTGATCTCGGCAAACCATCGTGTTCCCGCCGAACTGATGTGACGGTGAATGTGTTTGGTGGGTCAGCGTTTACCGAAGGTCCAAGTGAGATTTCAACAACAGAAAATACTGAAGGTATTGCAATTTGTTGACCTCTTATTTATTTTTCAATAAGTGAGGTTTTTGTTTCGTCGACTTTTTAACTCAAACACGAAGTTAGTATTTCTTTCGTTCTGCAGAAAGGTTAAACATTTCAGGTCAAAGAGGTCGCACTATTGAGTAAGGCTCGAAAAATTAACCAATAACTGTGTGCGGAATGTCTGAGAGACACCATGTGTGCAAATTAAAACCCTGAAGTATGATACATTTGTTCAAATGATGAAATGAACTTTTTGCTACAAACAATCACACGGGACAAACGTTACTAGATGGTAACCTATGCACTTTGACATCCCGAGAACATACAAATCAAAGAACAGTCAAGCCTGGCTAAGTCCCCCTTTTAGGCTGTCGCATTGTTCTGTCGTTTCAGTGTGGCGTATTTGTATTATGTGATCGTTTGTTGCAGAAGGCCCATTCTAGTTGCGAATCACACTAAATCGAAGGCCAGCCCAGTAAAGTAAATGCCCCTCTCTTTCCCGCTGTCTGTTTTCCCCGTATCTATTTTCTCCTCCCCCCTCTTCTTTTTCTCGCTTTCTATTTCACCCCTCCCCTGTTTTTTTCCCGTCCTCGAGTTTTTCCCGCGTTGTACATTTCCACGCTTTATTTTTCCCGCGCTCTATTTTTTCTCGTGCTCTATTTCCCAAGTTTTATTTTTCCCGCGCTCTGCGTTTTTCCGTTCTTTATTCTTTCTGAAAAATGACTCAATTTAATTTTATAGTAACACTGTCTTTTATTCCTTAACAGCTGAAAGCACTGTAAGCGTGTACACCAGAGCGAAAACCGATGAGATTCCAGTTTCTGTACCCACGAAGAGCTGGTACAAGAACCCAATGATAATTATGGGAATTTCCATGGCCGGTTTCTTCGTTCTCTGCATCGTTCTACTTGTGATCCTCGTTCTCCTGACCCGGAAGTGGAAACGGAGAAATAAGGTAAATGTCGACTCTCCTCTCTTCCGGAGTTCTAGACTCGCTGGTATAACCGGAAGTGCGGCGAGCTCTCGTCCTTCAACGCCAGACTGTGACGTCATCGAAGACTTGGAAATGGAACATTTAGAAAATGTTTTACGTGGAATTAAGACCACAGAGACATTCGAGATGAAACCCATGCGTCATTTAGACTTTTAAAACAAACAAGCAAAACATTGTATATGGTTAGAACTTGTAGTTAAAGTTTCTAAAAAGGGTTTTGCTTAGTCGAATTCTGTCTGTAATCATACCAGTGACTGAATTAGAGTCCGCTCAGTCCTTTTGGTATCACGTGATTATTAGAAAAGAAGTAAATGAAAGCCCTAAGTACAAGTGCGTCATGTGCTCATCGCTATGTTAAGCTAATGAGAGAATACATATTTCCTCGAAATGTCAAATTGTAAGCGTCAATCAAGGGCTAAACGCTTCCCACAGATTGCAATCAGGAGGAAAGAGCGGCATTCAGATCTCGCTGTCAACGAATCGAGCGAAGCTACTTGATTTCCTGGTTCCTTTATTAAGTTAAAATAGATATCGTCCTTCTCGACAATAATTTTTTGAGTTCAAAGCTTCTAATAATCAGCTTGAACTTTGAAGAGTCTTCAGCTACATAGAAAGCTCGTTCAAGCGTCGCCGGTATTTTCGGCGTCCCTAAACAATAACTGGAAATCTGTATGTTCAATTGTGACATCTCCCACGACGGGATACAAAGATAAAAAACATTCTCTGATTGGACAAGTTTCAAAGGGCGAATTTGGCGCGAAAACGTTCTTGAAAATG